AGAGAGAAAGGAACTTTCTGGGGTGATCTATATTTCCCGGAGTGTTCTATATCTTCATTATAATCGGGTTACACAAGTGTATCCATTGTCAAAGTTGTATTTTGACATCTCAGTATATGTGAATTTACCTTTAAAAAATCATTGAGTGGGGGATGGATTGTAGATAAAGGTATAGATCAAACAAAATGGCAGAATGTTGATAATTGTCCAACCTGAGTCATGGGTGCACGATGCAACCTGAGTTCATTACACTATTCTGTTTACCTTGTAAATATTAGAATTTTCTACAATACAGTTTTTTTAAACTGGCAGAAATGAGTTAAAAACTAATATGCGCTGAATTCTTAACATAATAATCTTTTTTAACTAAAACCATATAAGAACTGTTAAAACCACACTGGTTTTTGCTAGGCAGAAAATTGAGTGCTAAACAATTAGGAAATCATTGTTTTGTTCATTTCTGCCCTTGGGAGAAACAGAATATTATTAGTCTGCAGCAATCAGACCATGCTATTTCAACTACTCACCTTCTCAAGAGAATAGAGATATTCAGCCAAGATATTACCAAACCTAGTTATTTGTTCATTAAGCTCACTTCAGAGCAATGCCCTGAGTGTATAATTAATAAATGTTAATTTATGTTGATGATAATGTTGCACTGGAATTTTTAAACTTTTTTCTGAATTTAAAATATTTGAGAAGCAAGAGCAAGGCATTCTGCTAATATCCTGCATTTTTCTCTCATTATTTTCTTTTTCCCTGCTGATTTCTCCTTCTAACTTTTGCAATGCAAGTGTATTAGAGCCCCCAAGAGCAGAATTTGGTTCTATAGAAATCATCAAGTAAACTATCTTGGATTTTATTGAACAATTTGTTGCTCATTCAACAAGTACCAGGTGTGGTGGCTCATGCCTATAATCCCGGCACTTTGAGAGGCCAAAGCAGGAGGATTGCTTGAGCTCAGGAGTTCAAGACCAACCTTGGAAACATGGCGAGAGCTCATCTCTACAAAAAAAAATTTTTTAATCAGTCAGTGTGGTGTGCACGCCTGTAGTCCCAGATATGAGGCTGAGCCTAGAAGCCTGAGGCTGCCATGAGCCGTGATCACACCCCTGCACTCCAATCTGGGCAACAAGGGGAAACCCTGACAAAAAAAGAAAGAGAGAAAGAAGGGAAGTGAGGAGGGAGGGGAGGGAGGGAGGAAGGAAGGAAGGAAGGCAGGCAGGAAGGAAGGAAGGAAGGAAAGAAGGAAGGAAAAAGATCATGTGACACCCTAAGTGGCAAGTGGCAGCTTCTCTGGATGCCAACTGCATTCATACTGCCTCACATCCAAGGTGGTAATATGAGAGGGGGACAATCACACTGGGCCAAGAAAACTCTGCTAACATAATGCTTGAGAGTCCCAGAGCAAAGGTCAAAGTTATAGGCACACTCCAACTGTGGACCTGTGGAGTCCAAGTCAGACATGTCTGGGGGACCAGGCAACCCACTACCATGGCCACCTACTAACAGAAGGCCCTGCGGAGCCTCATAAGAGTCAAGCTGGCTGGACTCAGGGCGCACTGAGGGAACCACAGCTCCTTGCACTCTCCCACACACTGCATGAGGAGGGACTCAATCTGAAGGGGAAAAAATAGACGTCGCATTCATCAATAAAGCTGTCTGCTACGTACTGGTGTAGGCACTAGGGATACAGGAGGGACCAACACAGACCAGGTCTTTGTCGCTGTGGGGAACAGATGCAGCAAGGAGGTGCAGTGATTTGGGGGCCTAGAGCATGACACTCAACCCCAGTTGGAGGCTCAAGAGAGAATGTCCAGAGGAAGCGGCATTTAAACTGAGAGCTGGAGTCTGAGGAGGAGACAGCAAGTCAAGGGCATGGAGAAGGAGACTTCCGGACAAAAGTAGATCATTTGTGTGAAGGCCTTAGAAGGGGGTAGGGTGATGAGAGGAGGCTTAGGGAAAGAGACCGTGTTGAACAAAGCACATAGTTCCCAAGGAAAATTGTACCCTATTCCCAGAGAGAAGAGAAACTATGTTACCTGAGTGTCGAATCCAAAAGTAAACTTAATGGGGAAAGACAAGATATTCTGTAAATCGTTGTAAACATCTGGGGAAAAAGTTAAATCCATACTTATTCCTATACCAAAATAAACCCCAGAGGTATCAGATAAGTTAATGGAAAAGAAAGCCATGAAAGTGCCAGAACAGGAAGGAAAAAATGTAATATCTCAGAAGGGGGAAAGTCTATTTTTTAATTGTGTTTTTTGATTTCAGTTCTCACTCTATTGTCCAGGCTGGAGTGCAGTGGCATGCTCATGGATCACTGCAACCTCAACCTCTTGGGCTCAAGCTATCCTTCCACCCCAGCCTCCCAAGTAACTGGGATTACAGGAGTGCACTGCCATACCAGGCTATGTTTTTGTTTTGTTTTTGTTTTTGGTAGAGATAAGGTTTCACTATGTTGTCCAGGCTGGTCTCAAACACTTGGGCTTAAGCAATTCTCCCACCTCAGCTTCCCAAAATGCTGAGATTACAGGCATAAGCCACTGCACCTGGACTGGAAAAGTCTAAAGCAACACAAAAACCAAGAAATCATAGAAGCTATATTGACATACTTAACTGTATTTTTTTAATTCTCATAAAAATAAAGTGAAATAAAATACAAACAATATTTTCAACAATGTTTCATGAAGGACTTGATGCTATTCCTAATAAAATGACTATAAGTTTTTTACATATATATAAAAAAACTCAAGAGAAAAATGAGCAAATGGCATGAGTAGGAAATAAAATACAAACAGGACCCTCTTAAGCATAAGACTTATGTGAACATTCTTCTAACAGTGATGTAAATTGTGACATACTATTTTCACCTATCAAATTAACAAGGATAAAAAGCATGATAATAGACTCTTATACATTGTTAATGAGGACATAACTGATTATACCCTTTGAGGAAAGTAATAGATAGGTGTTATTTAAATACACATACTCTTGATATGGAAAGATCTCCATGGTATATTATTAATTGAAAACATCACAGCATTTAATAGAGAATGGGAGAGCAGAAAGAGAATACACACATTTGTTTGTAAGTGTCTAGAATATCCCCAGAAGTAAACACAATAACCTATAAAGAGAAGTTTCTTCCAGACTATGAAATAATTACTATTCACTGTGCATACTTCTCTGCCTTTTGAATTTTGTACATGTGCATGTATTATCTAAAAAATTGCTGGACGCAGTGGCTCACGCTTGTAATCCCAGCACTTTGGGAGGCTCAGGTGATTGGATTACTTGAGCCTAGGAGTTCGAGACCAGCCTAAACAACATAGTGATACTCATCTCAATGAAAAATCAAAAAATTATCCTGTCAAGATGGTGCACACCTGTAGTCAGAGCTACTCAGGAGACTGATGTGGGAGGATCGCCTGAGCCCAGAAGTCAAACTTCAGAGAGCCATGATCATGCCACCGCACTCCAGCATGGGCAGCAGAGTGAGAACCCCCAACTCAAAAATTAATTAAATGCCTATTCAATTACTGTTCATAATTTTTCAAAATTGTTTTGTCAATATAATCAATGAGTCTGTCTTAAGTACTAGCACATAGCTGAAATGTTAACCTAGATTTGTTGAATATATTATAAATTTATTTTCACCATTTCAGCTTCATTTTCCAATTTTCTGGAATTCCCACTATATATATATTGGTTTGCTTCATAGTGTCTCATAGGTCCCCTAGGCTCTGTTCACTTCAATCTTTTTTTTTCTGTTCATCAGACTTGCTAATTTCCATTGTCCATCTTCAAATTTGCAGATTCTTCTTCTGTTTGTTCAAATCTGCCTTTGAGTCCCTCTAGTAAACTTTTCATTTCAGTTATTGTACTTTTCAGCTTCAGAATTTTTTTATTTTTTTGTTTTCTATCTCTTTATTAATATTCCTACTTTGTTCAGTTTCCACGTCATCTCTTAGATCCTTGAGCAGCTCTAACACAGTTTAAAGTTCTCAACTAGGCTGGGCTCAGTTGGCTCAGCCTGTAATCACAACACTGGGAGGCAGAGGCGAATGGATTGTCTGAGCCCGCCGGTTCAAGACCAGCCCGGGCAACCTGCGAGACCTCATCTCTGCAATAAAATAAAAAATAGCTGGGCATGGTAGCACACATCTGTAGTTCCGGCTACTTGAAAGCCTGAGGCAGAAGGATCGCTGGAGCCCAGAAGGTCGACGCTGGGATGGCCATGAGCATACATGCCACTGCACTCCAGTCTGGGCGAAGGAGTGAGGCTCCAACTCAAAATAAATAAATAAATAAATAAATAAATAAATAAAGTTCTCCTCTAGTAAATCCATCAACAAGTCTTTTTCAGGGATAGTTTCCATTGTCTTTTTTTTTCCTTTTAATGGGGTGTATTTTCCTTTTTCTTTGTATGTCTTGTGATTTTTGTTGAAAACTGCATATTTTAGTCTAATTATGTGGTGACTCTGGAAATTAGATTCTCTCTTCTCCAGGGGTTGCTGGTTTTTGTTTTTGTTGTTTTTTGTTTGTTTGTTTGTTTGTTTGTTTGTTTTGAGTTGGAGTCTCACTCTGTCACCCAGACTGGAGTGCAGTGGCCGCTCCCGGCCACCGCAGCCTCAACCTGGTGGGCTCCAGTGATCCTTCCGCCTCAGCCTTCCAAGTAACCGGAATTACAGGCATGCGCTACCACGCCCGGCTGATTTTTTTATTTATTGTAGAGATGAGATCTTGCTGCCCAGGCGGGTCTCAAACCCGTGGGCTCAGGCAATCCACTCACCTCAGCCTCCCAAAGGCGCGGGATTACAGGCTGAGCCACGGAGCCCGCTGTTTGCTTGTTTTTGAGTCAGAGTCTCACTCTGACACCCAAGCTGGCATACAGTGGCATGCTCACAACCACCATAACCTTGACCTCCTGGGCTCAAGCGATCCTTCTGCCTCAGCCTTCCAAGTAGCTGGGACTACAGGCGCATGCCACCACACCCAGCTATTTTTTTTCTTCAAAACAAGATCTCACCAAGTTGCCCAGGCTGGTCTTGAACTTCTGGGCTCAGGCAATCCTCTCACCTCAGTCTCCCAAAATGCTGGGATTACAGGCATGACACACCATGGCCAGCCTGTTTTTTGAATTGTTGTAAACTGTCCCCTGTGCGGAGGATCAGTCTGAAGTATATCCTCAGGGTCTTTTCTGAGCTTGTGTCTTCCCCTGAGCATACACCATGGCTTTCTCATTTCCCCTAGATACAAGGTTGCTTTTGAACGTCATCATCATCAGTGTCTGGTCCCCCAAAGGGGGAAAAAGAAAAATGAAGAGCAAAAGAAGATAAAAAGGCACCAATTTTTTTAAGCACCCAGGAAGTCACTTTAGCCAGTGAGAGGAGGAGCTTGCAACAATGAGGGGAGGTCCAACAATGGTCACCTACCTGTGATCCTCTGTGATCAGAAGCAACAATTAGCATTCAGAGCACAGATCCCCAATATTTGGAAGATCACAGTCTTTTTTTTTTTTTTT